TTGAGTTATTCGGCCAGGTTTAAACCACCAGCCTAGTGGAGGAATTGTGATATGAAAAACTCTCCAGCTCTGAAGTTGTGTAGTAATCAGAATACTGCGAAACCCGCACTGCTAAGAACCTTTGATATGGTGGTACGCTAACTTGCCTTTGTACTCTGTAATCTTACCCTTTGCTTGATTTCAGAGGATAGAGGGATGGGTGCAAAACAGAATGAAGGGATTCGATAAATGGTCTGCGGAGGGGATGTGGAAAAGAAAGTAAGATAGACAGTGTGAAAAGGAGATATCTTTGTCTAAGGTTTGCTCTCAGTCGCGATGGTTTGGGTTTGCCCTAAAGTCATGTTGGGAGGTCACAAGAGCAGGTATAAAATTCCGGTAGCTACGCAGAGGGTGTATGATTAGTACCAGCATATCCAAGTAACCAGGAACAGACCTCTGTGGGCAAATCTCGGATCCGTCCCTGGGAGCCCTGATTCCATTGTATTCTGCTCTACTATTCTCCTCAGTGCTTCCAGTTGTCCAGTCCGTCCAAGACGGGGTGAGGAAGCCAAGGGACAGAAATGTCTCGTCCTTGGACGGACTGAATGACCTTGGCACCGTCCGGAAGGAGTGGGTGGGCGGCCGTTGAACTACACTCGGGCCATCCATCGTATGAGGTACTACTATCATATCTTCTACCTCATTTTTAATGTCATCCTCATGTGGCTGGGTAGTGGCTAGGTAGACCTGCATCTTAGTATTAGTGTGTTTCACTTAGTGCATTGACCAATTTTAGTTGACTGCAGTCGACCGGGGTGAAGACTAGCATAGTCCGACGGCAGTCGACGTCCAACTGGGCGACTGGGAGCGCTGGGTATGGCACTAACAGATGGTTGTGATACTCCCCCTTTAGCCCAAGCCCGATAACTCAGCTACCTAACCTCTATGACATGTTCTCACTCACTCCCTTTGACCTCTCTCCCACCTGCTCTCGAAAACGTTCTAGCTAATATAAAATAAAATTTTGTCTGGCTCATCAAACTAAGGAAAAACAATAAAAGCAACAACTAAGTGGAGCTATCTAACTTGACCCCCTCACAGTAAACTTAATCATCTGTTGGGACTGGAAGATGTCAATCCTGATAGGTCGGTCTATGACTCCCACTCCAGGGCCAAGTTGAGTACCACAAAACCCACCTAAAACAATCACATGTAAAATGCCACGTCCAATAAACTGGGTCTTTCCTAAGCCCAGCTGGAGAGCAAAGACAAACCACCCAACCATCTCCCTTGAGTTCCCTATGGAATAAATTAGTTACCAAGATTCAGTCCCTTTCAAAATAGGTCCTTACCCTCCCTCACTTCTCCATCATTCTTCCAGAATCCAATGCGACAAGTAGGCAATCTACTAGGATGGAGTAATCTTTCATCCACCTTGCTTTGGTCCGGCCCATGGTCTTGAATAAAATTGGTATATCTTCGCTCAACTGAAATACCCCATCATAGTGGACCATTCTCCACCAGCTACCAGAGGTGATAAATCCATACACAACACCTCCACCATTATTTTCTCTCAGGTCCTTTATGGCGAGGAAACACTGTTTCCTTGCCTCTACAATGTGATTCTCTTTCACTTCAACTACTACTACAAAGGTTTCTTCCTTCACAGAAACCAAGTCCATAACAACTAATCTCCTCACACCATGAATCCTACGACCTATCAGGATGATCTCTTTGTCCCTGCCTAAATGTAGGTCTCGTCCACTCTGCTTTTGAAAATAATGTAGTACAGGTCGCGAGATAGAGATTACAAGGTCATTGATATTTCCTTCCTTGAAGTTAGGATCTGCATTACAAGGATATCCCGCAGTTTCAATGTGCTCTACTAGGCCATCATAAACCTTCTCCTTGACCTGCAAGATACCTTCACTTTCTCCAATAACTAATTTGTCTCTCAATATTTTCTTAACAGGAACACCGCAGAGTGCCAGACAGATACCTAACCTCTCCTGTACTTGTTAAATGGTTATCTTGGAATAGGAAGTTATCAATCTGGACTTTTCCTTTTTCTACTTGGTAGACTTATTACTGCTTGTTACTTCTTACTTGTTCACCTTGTTTTAGGAGGTTGTGGAATTGAGTTTGCTGTTTGGCAACTGTATTACTGGACCCCTTCTGGGGTTAGTATTCTTTGCTGGGTTTTTCGTGCTAAGAAATCCTCGTATCGCCAGTAGGTATTTGGCACAGAGTATCTTCACATCATAACTGAAGCTATTGATTGTAAAGAGAGCTTCAGGAACTAAAGGTAGGGTCATGAGACGTAGGTGTCTCAGATGGGAGTAGGTATAATTAGCTATCCCTTCATTCATTCCAGTTTTTCGGGCCATGGCACACCTCTTTTTCATTGCCTTTACCAATACTGGCTGTGTAAAGCTGGGGTGTTGCTTGTGCGTCTCAGGAATGTGGATTAGGATCTTACGAGTACTTGAGAATACTTGGCTATTGAGTTATTCAGCCAGGTTTAAACCACCAGCCTATTTTAAGAATTGTGATGTGAAAAACCCCCTGGCTCTAAAGTTGTGTAGTGATCAGAATACTGCAAAACCCGCACTGCTAAGAACCTTTGATATGGTGGTACCCTAACTTGCCTTTGTACTTGGTAATCTTACCCTTTGGCTGATTTCAGAGGATGGAGCGGTGGGTGCAAAAAAGAATGAAGGGATTCTATAAATAGTCTGCGGAGGAGGTGTGGAAAAGAAAGTAAGGTAGAAAGGGTGAAAAGGAAAGATCTTTGTGCAAGGTTCCCTCTCACTTCTGATGATTTGGGTTTGCCCTAAAGCCAAGCCAGGCAGGAGGTCATGGGGGCAGGTACAACATTCCGGTGGCTACACAGAGGGTGTATAGTTAGTACCAGCCTATCCAAGTATGATGCAAAGTGCTTAGAATATGTACCAAGGCTGTTGCATCATGTAATGCCTCAAATTTACTTGGGTATAGGGCTATATGTTGGAATGATAAATTTTCAAGGTCCCAAGTTCAATTCATCATTAAGTCAGGATTTATTTTTCTCATTCTCATCTCACCACCAGACATTTTGATTGTCAATTTGAGATCATGAAGGTAAAACTTGAATGTTATACCTATGATATTAAGTATACAACTCAGAAAGTAATACCAATCAATTAGCAGACAAATTACTGACCCGCCTATGAGACTTGTAGCTCCAACTAGTAAGTTTCTCATATTCAGTAGAGGCATAAACAACCTTGCTTCGATAGACTTCCATGATCCTTTGTGTCTTTGCCCAATACTTCCAATATGAGCCTGAATTGAACTTGTACTGTTCTTGAACATTCAGTCTTGCATTTACCCTTAACCCTAATACAAACCTGGCATTACATGATGCAACGCCCTTGGTACACATTCTAAGCGCTTTGCATCATAACCAGGAACAGACCTCCGCGGGCAATCACGCATCCGTGCCTGGGACTTCTGATTCCATGGTATTCTGCTCACCAGACTATTCTCCCCCAACAACCATCCTCAGGTACGACCCAGTGCCTCCAGTCGCCCAGTCGGTCCAAGACGGCATGAGGACGCCAAGGGACGGAAATGTCTCGTCTTTGGACGGACTGGACGGCCGTTGGACTGCAATCGGGCCACCTATACCGGTAGTATGATGTGCTACTATTTTCCACCTCGTTGTTATAGTCATCCTCATGTGGCTGGGCAGTGGCTGGGTAGACCCGCCTTTTAGCATTAGTGTTTGTTTCACTTAGTAGATGATACTGACTAAATTTTAGTCGACTGCAGTCGACTGCCGCCCACCCCGTCCGGACGACGCCAAGGTCGTCCTGGACGGAGTGAGGACTAGCGTAGCCAGACCGCAGCCGACGGCCGTCCGACTGGATGACTGGGAGCACTGAGTTGTGCGATCGCTTTAGCGAGCAAGCGCCTGGCATTTTCCTTTCCGTTTCGATTCACAGCTAGTCACTCGTTCATTTTACCACGACCGCCGATCGGGAAATTTAAAACAGGGTAGAGATAAATAAGTAAGGCAGGCAGAGGAGAGAGACACCTGGCCAGGCGATGGCACTCAGACCACACAGTATAATCTATTGTTGATTCTGTGTAGTTATTATGGTGGTTTGTACGAGATGTGGAGAGGGAAGGGTTGGCCTTATTGTTGTGGAGAAATGGTGCCTGCACCCACGGATCCTGATAGTAATATAGCGGGTGACTCCGCATCCTCGAGTACCGTATCATACAAGTACACTGTCCTACAAGATGTTATGGAGCATTCATTAGCGAGACAGACCCATGTTTTTTCTGGTTAATGGGCCCCTATTAAATGCCCACCACTGCCCCCAATTTTACTGCTAGGTTCGTCTTACATTCGGTGTCTCCGTTACTAGCCTTTTCTTCGCCACTGGTGTTGTGACCTTTGCGTATCTTTCCTATTCACTGCCCTTCACATGTTTCACATTCATTTCTCTCCTTCTCTTCTGTTTTTTCTTCCGTTTGAACCCTTCGCTTTGAGGTTATAAACCCACCTCTGCGCCGGCAGTAGACAATCAAGCTTCATTCTACCTTTCACGGATGATCACAACCATATATTTGGCGGGTGACACCTGATAGCTGTAAGTGGCATGAGGTGGAAGGGAACGCAGGATAAATTGGAGTGGGGGGAGGCGGGTCGGGGGTTAGGGTGCTGGCTATCCATCCGGTAGATCCGTAGTGTCAGATGTTTTTGTCTCAGACCTATAGCTCCTTGAGTGAGAATCAATACGTGTTCCCCCCCCCATCCCTCTCCGGTATTTCTGCCAGTTCCTCCCTGTCGCCCCGCTTACGCCTCCACCGTTGTGAGCTTGTCAAGGATGCTGGTGAAGTAGTTGGCGAAGAAATGGCGACAAGTGGAGCTGAACAGATAGAGGATTCGGGGGTAGTGGGTGAAAGGTGAGATGCAAGGTGTGTTGCAGGGGGAAGTGGGGGTGAGAGTCCAGTTATCGTACCACACTAGTAGCAAAATAAGGCGGCACAGAACCGCATTTCAACATACAGAGTAGGGATCAGTAAACACTTCATATGAAACACATAACCTTTCCTGTCCATGCAGCACACCACGCTATGACAAGCAAAATATCAAAACCAAGAAGCAAGCCCAACACCATTTCTCAAACCCAACATGCTCTAATGATCATTATATATAGACATATCCCGCACAATTGATATCCAAACGCCGCAGGCACTCATCTGGATCACTGTGTGGCGCCAATTCAATCCTCCTCCTCCTTTATCGTGGCCTTGACATCCTCTCCAGGGTTCTCAAGTCTGATCCTCCTCTCGGCCTTAGGGGTTATAAAAGCGTACCACCTATCCGACACAGGATCCTCGGGGATTGGTCCGTTGCCACGTTTTGGGGTGCACAAGCCGCGAGTGACCTCCCCTCGTGCTTTTGCCGTAGGGTCGTTTATCAAGTTCGATGATGAGTTTTTCTTGGGAGCACCCTGTAGCATAGGCCTTTCCTCCCGCCCCACAGTCGAAGGAGTATACTCTCGCAGAACTCGTTCAGAAAATGCCGTCCCAGAAGATCTATCGTCCTCGTCTTCGAGATCCGCCTCTCTCTCCGGCTCCACAGTGCCCGAAGATACAGGCGATGCCCGAACTCCTGGCCTCTGGACATTCCAGCCGCAACAGTTGCCGCATCTTTGGCCAATTACTATGTCGGCAAATGCCTCCATCATTTGTGCTGCCGCAAAGGATCCACGCTCAAGTTTGTCCAATAGGGGGAATAACACTTTTAGGTTATTGAAGTCCGGTATAGTGCCCTCTCCCTCGGGGGTCCCAGTTGGGGTTTCGGAGTGTCGGGAGGGAGGCGGGGACATGAAGGTTCGTGAAAACATGCGCGGAGAAGATGCTGGCGGTGTTGTTCTGCAGGACGCCTTGGATACTTTCCTCGGGGTCTCCAATCGGGTCTCCTCCTCCTTCCCCTTCCCCTTCGTGATTCCACCACCACCACCATTGCCATCACCATTACTATGCAGAACCATCCCATATAGGCCTCGTATAAACAACCCAAACTCCTCCACTCCCCTCTCGCCCTCGAACGGGAAATATGGGCTGTCAGCCAACTTCCCGCTCTTGAACCCTCCACCGCCGAATAGCGTTGGTTCGAGAATTCCCGCTTCATAGTTAACCGCCCAGTGGTTCTCCTCATTCTTCTCCTTTTGGCTCAGCTTGCCCACCCCCCCACTGACCAGCCGTTCAACGGTGAGAAATATCTTCTGTAGGATGAGCCCGATCTCGGCGGGGCGCGCGCATTTGCGACATGGAGCCCTCATAGGTGTGAATTCGCGGGACTGGTAAACTCTGATCGTCGCCAGGGGCAAGAGGGAAAGCGGGTAGCAGTAGGAGACGGTCGAGTAGGAGGGGGAATGAGAAATGTGTGGCGAGTACTTTTTGGTCGGATAGTATGTGGTGAAGGACTTCACTCTTGAGGAGCAATGACGTTTTGGCGGCGGTGTATCGGACATTCTGGCATTGGTGGATAGTAGGAAGGGAGGAGGAGGGGGGGGGGGTGGGACTGGTAGAAAGGTCAAGCTTCGTTTAACTCGATGGCTGGTCGTCTGACTTGAACCGGTGGTCACGGCTGTGATCGACACGGGTAAGATCGCGCCAGGATGCTTGGCACGACGTGTTTGGGTATGGTTCAGCATGGGCGCTTATGGGCACCCGAGTGGCTCCTGTGGTACAAATGGGGGTGCCTTAAATTGTCCATGGTGGGCCGAAGAGTTCCGAGTCCGCTGGCTGTTGGGGTTGGGCTTGTTCCCCCCCCACGCTACGTACCATAACCCTGTTCTCGCACCGGTATGAGGTTAGGGTTTAATAGCCTCCCATGTCAAAGTGAGCCCACGTTAACGGGGACGCTCACACACAACCGCTCGCCGTGTCGCTAGGCCTACGAATGGACCCGGAATTCGCTGACATTCTGGTGGAATTGCAGCATCCAGAGGGCCTCTTGAACCCCCTGCGGGAGGGGGAGGGGGAAGGAAGGAAGAATTGTAACAAGGAGCAAGTCCTAGCAGTATACCCGTAATTCACCTCTCCTTCTCGTTTTCTTTCTTTCCCTTTTTTGACTTTCTTTATCAATAAATCGTGGAATGGGTCGTTTGACCCAAACCCCTCCTCTCCATCGCAACCGCTGTGACTAGTCCATGCCGGCTGAATCGCTGGTCGGGTCATGTTGGCCTTCCCTCCAATTCTTGAGATATTTTTAAGACATCAGAGACATGAGCTGTGACCAGTGAAAACCCATCTGCCAAACCCCGCCAGAGCACGCCACATCCGGAAAGAGGTGCAATACCGGTAGTGCTCCAATTATGATTTGTAAGAGACATTCTTGCCTCTTGGTGCTCTCGCTTTACTACAAAGTGCCGGTGGTTCATGTCAGAATAGCGCAAGCTTTTGGTACAAGTATACTCGATCCCTCCGCTGCTCGAGCACTCATGCCCTACCCGGATACCAGGGCTGATCCGTGAACATTGTCAATTCATGGCTGTTTATGATGTGTAATTAGCTAGGGCCAATTGGTTGTGGGAGAGGATCTTCCCCTTTTTTTGCTAGCAGGATATCACACAATGTTCAGCGATCAACACCTCCCTCCACCCGTGTATATCTCGTGGATAGTATCTAGCTCAGGTTCTATTGAATACCACGCCTACAATTATGAAGCTATCCTTCACTCAGCTCTATGAATTACTCGAGTTGCTCAATCTCATCTACGGCTACCGTAAGTTACCATCTATAAACCTTATCACCATTGCTGAGATGCCTGCATTCCAAGTGCACGCGGCCCGCTGTAACCATGTGATAAAAATTAACCCGTATTTTAGGCGGAAAACGGCCAGCCGCCCGGGATATTAACCTTTCCCCAATTGCATATTGAGAGGGGCTAAGATTGACGGAATGCGCATTTATGATACAAGTAATGTAGCACTCCAATTCTCTCGGATCGGGGAGGGGGCCCACTCTTCGGTCTCATGCGTTTTATCTACCGGTATAATATGACGCCGTTTAGAGCAGGTCCCCTCTGTTGAGTTGTGGGACAGAGGCCAGGTCACACGGAAAGTAAGGGTTTTCGAGGTACCATTATTCCGCGGATTCCCTCAATTCAGAACGGGCTCTAAAGTACGGTAGATCCGGAAAACAGCTAGTTGCCCGAGACGGTGGAAGGAGGATAATTATGCGGCACCGTATTATCTTCATCAACACCCGTTGAGGCTTGTTGGTATGGGATCCCCAGGCTTTCGTGTGCATCAGAACTGGTTGCTTGACCCGGCCGAGTGCACTCGCACCTGAGGCGCGGGCCCCGGAAAGAGCAGCTCACACGCCGTATACGGTAATAGGTTGTCATTCCCTTTAGTTGGAGCTTCCCCGCTGAGGATCCTCGCTTTAAAGCCAAAGCTTCCAGTTTGCTGGCTGACCAGCCATCGCCCAACTGCCCACCCCAACCATCGCCAACTCAATCTAGCTCGCGAACTCCCTACGATGTCTTTTCTAGATTTACCCAACGAAATTATCCTCCTTATATCCAGGGAGCAGACTCCGCGCGAATTGAACTCTCTTCTCAGGGTGAGCCGATTTCTAGCAACCCTTCTCGCGCCCGCCCTCCTTGACACTGTTTTCCGTGGTCGTCTCAGCGGATACGGGGAAAAGGCATTGTATTCAGCGGCGAAATACAGGGACAATGCCAGAGTCCAATATCTCCTGAGCCGAGGAATTCTCGATTTTGTCGGAAATGGAGCACTTCTGCACAGCGCGGTAAAAACGGAGAGCGCAGATGCTATCATCACTTTATTGGAGTGCGGGATAGATCCGGCGGCTCAGAACCTCCTGGGCCAGACAGCATTATTTTCCGCAGCTACATATGGGAAGGCGGAGAACGTTCGTGTATTGCTCGATGATGGCAGGGTGGACGTCAATTGGGAAGACGCCAAAGGGTACACGCCTTTACAAAAGGCGGTGAGCCATGGGCAGGAAGGTGTGGTCCGACTCCTGCTCGACCGGGAAGCCAACGTCGGTTCGGATCCTCGCCATACTCCCCTCTTGGCCCTGGCTGTCAAATCTCAAAGCGAACCCATTGTTCGTGTTCTTCTCAACGATTCTCGAGTCAAAGTTAACGAATCAGGCCCCGCCCAACGAACAGCATTGCACACAGCGGCCGGCCTTCGGGACCCCCGTTTATCAAGGATTCTCTTGGAGGAGGGAGGGGCCGACATCAATGTTCGCGACTTTGAGTATAACGCACCACTACACGTGGCTTGTTTGTCCAGGGCACCGGCGGTGGTAGCCTTTCTACTGAATAATCCGGGGGTGAAAATTAACGCGCCCAACATCCAGGGCCTGACACCACTACACCATGCGATCCGTGGGGGAGACGATGAGACAACACGGCTTCTCTTGAGCGACGTGAGAATTGATCTTACCCCGACCGGCGGGCGCAGGCCACGGCCGCACATACATATTGCAATCCGCAGCGGATGCCGGAAGATAGTGCGGATGCTACTATCCCATGGCGTCGACCCAAACTTAAGAGAACCACTCTCAGGGTTGAGTGCCTTATCGCTTGCGATCCTCCGGAAAGAGACGCAAATCTTCCGCGACCTCCTAGCAGACTACAGAATCAACGTGAATCAGCCAAACCGCGAGGGAAATGCCCCGTTACACCAAGCCGTGAAGCTAAACCGCAGGACAATGCTCACCTACCTGGTCCAAGAGCCCCGAGTGCACATCAACCAATTTAACACAGCGCATGAAACAGCACTACACATCGCGTGTAGGAACGGTGCATCCCAACTTGTTGAGATCCTCCTGGGACACACGACAATCGACGTCAATCTCAGTGGGCCCTCGGAGGAGACACCCCTGCATATGGCCGTCAGCGAGGGCCATGCAATGACCGTGCGCATCCTATTGAAACACCATCTGATCGATCGCTCTCGTATTGATGATAAATCCCGAACACCCCTGTCGATAGCGATAGCGTTAGGCAACATGGAAATAACCCGAATGCTCAGTCCGTATGCGCACTCACCGCAGCCAACGCGGTTTCTGCGTGAGTCTGACGACTTCACCTTATACGCGACTCATTCCGAAGAGGACCTTTTGAAATGGACCATGACGCGTTGGCCATCGCCGGAGCTGGGTGCTGTTTCACAATCGGAGTTTCAGTCGCTGCCGGACTCTAATCCTCTTGGAGGCTCTTATTTGGCGGACTTCCTTTCATCAGACATCCTAACGCGTTGGCCGTCTCCAGAGCTGGGTGCGCCCACTTCGGGACTGGGAGAGAGTCTCACATTTTATGATGAGCCGGACCATGGCGGCCCGTTGTGGTACCAACAACCGCCTCCAGACCGGACCTTTGATTCATGATTTTCGTTTCCTGAATGGCATCAGCGGCACGGATTCTCTGGGTGCGGAGTCTGCCTTGTTGGCTGGTCTGGGGACCCGGGACTGTGGGCGGTTGATGGGGTGGGGGCAGGTGTTTGGAGGGAAGATGATACGTGGTGCGGAAGAGAAGTAGGAATAGTGGGGGTTTATAGTTTGAGAGTTTTTCTAATTTCATCTTTGCCTTCTTTTTTTTTCACCTTTTTTACGTATTGTCACAATTTTATTATCCATAATAGGTGGCACCCAGGCTACCGTATTCCCTGTCAATCTGATTTCATTGTGGCAACGCCCGGTGGCTAGATGCCGATTGACAGACAGACACTTTAAGCAAACTACCGACAACCGCGATGCTGGTACTAGCCAGTGCCCAGGTCACCGCGGATGGAGAAGTCTCTTGACGGGAGCAGCCGGTATAGCAAAAAATTAGCAACCCCATAATAGACCCACAGCAGAGCACCACATCGTCATCGCCGAATTTTTGGCGCATCTGATCCAAGATTTTCACGCCACATGAGTGATATCCGGTGAGTATGATTTAGTGAGAGGAGGGAGTGGGGGCGGTGGCCGGACTTGTGTTACTGCGCCTAGAAGTTACCCTTAACCGCCCGAGCATACAATTGCTCTTACTGAATGATCCGATCGATGGCTGTAAGCCGTGCACAAACGCTTATCATATTTTCCGCATTTTCTGAATGTGCTGTAAGGAAGCGTCCATGAGATCAGCGGGTGGACTCACTCGGGTCAATATACCCACGGAACGACATCGGCACTCGACCCTTCTTCCTCCATTCACCCGAATCGGAAGGGATGGTTCCCAATACCTGTTGCTCGTATGTATCCTTCGACCGCACTGAACAGTGCTAGAGAGTGGAATTACCCTGCGGCGATGGGGTGGAGCCAGTGAGGGTGTGCGCTTTTTGGAGTTGGAAAATTTTTGGGGGCGGAGGGCGGTGGTTGCTGGGTGCAAAAGGGAAATACTGGGGTAGCGAAGGTTGCAGTTCTGCGGAATTATGCTGTATCATATATAAGGTTTAATTAATCTGCAAGCGGTTGAAGATAGAGTTGAATGTTTTCTCCATCTTCACAGACGTTCTGTTCCCCCCCCCTCCTCCCCCTCCACCAATCACAGTACCGTAGGATCTAAAAATTAGGCCATGTGGTAGGTATATCACTATCTAAAATTTCCGCCCATGGAATAGTGATGAAAAACCAAAAAAAAAAAAAAAAAAGACAAAGGATGTGTGTGGTCGGCATATTTTTTGTACAAGGGGAAGGGATGGCTATCTCGGGGGATTCGTGCTCGAGAATCACGAGATATGATTTGGGGGAGTGTTGATCAAGTGTGTATACGCACAGGGTGGTTCAAGGTGTGAGGAGAAAGAAAAAAAGAATTCCTACGTAGGAAACTTGGAGTTTTCGGGAATGACAAAAACTTATGACAGTATTATAGGGGGAAACCTGGAGCACGGGTTTTCTCCTTCTGCGATAGTTCACAATCCCCTTGAGATCGATATTGAGCACTGATTGAAATACTGGAGATCATCGAGTGATCGTCCATGAAGGCAAACAGGAACTCTTTCTTCCAACTATGAGATCCCTAATTCAGCGCCGGAACTCGTGGGGCTCCTTACGCCCACTGGTATTCCGCATACTCCCCTCTGGAAAGAATACTAAGATTAGCTGATGTGAAATTCTTGCGCCAGTTGACTACCGGTAGGATGTAAAACTATTTAAAGATCATCATGGAGGCCGCACAGTGACTCAAGGACGAACTACTGGGTTGAAGAAGAAAGAAAGACAACCCAAAACGAGGAGTAAATATCCACAAGGCGCTGCTTGTTTTATTCACGGAAGTCTGTATCACAGTGAGTATCAGTATGGAAAGGGAAAAATGCGTATCAGGCCATGTACTGTACAGGGTGAGAGCTAGAGAGAATTTATGTATCGTTGGATAGAGACTGTCAGACATCGCTGCATACCGCTCGTGCACCAGCGGTGAGTACGGCCAGACTGAGTTGTGCCGATGATGATACCGGTTGGTGATTAATCCCCTTGCGCAGTCCCGTTCCAACATGGTTCATTCGCATCATTGTATGCTTGTGTTCCTCCTCCTACTTTCTGTAATTCTCATACTAATAAAAGAAAGACAAACTCCCACTGCCCATAGCCTCCACCCGTGCCAATAGCCTTTTTACTTCCCTGCTAGCAGATACATTGTACTAAGACTCTTGAACATTTCCTTAGCCCAAGTATTGTTCCAAAAAAAAAAAAAAACTAAACAGTACAGCTAAAAGCCAATGTATGTCTGAAGTCATAGTATATCTGAAGTCAAAATGTACTCTCAGAGACTATGAAAACAAACTAATAAATTATCATGAGAGTATACTAAACAGCATGTTAGAATTTTTCATAAGAGAATACAGCTAGAGTGGATCAATACCTATAGACTTTCAGGAAAATAGAAATAGTACTCAGCAACTGTTAGTAGAAATAAATATACTTAGAAGGTTTTAGTAAAGTGATAGGAGAGTACCTAAACCTAGATATAATTATTTATTTTTTTTTTTAAAAAAGTCACTAAGACAAGAAAACAACTCCTATTATTTAAAAGCTATCATAGGATAAAAACTTCCATCATACTACTATACAGTCAACCGGGTAGAAAGCAAACAAAAACTTGATATAACTCATCAGAATTGCTTTATCAATCATGTATCCCATCCTAAAGCCCATATAAAAATAAGGGACAATCAGATAGAAACATATATAAATGATTTAAGTCTATCATCATATGAGTCAGATTCCCCTCAGTTCCCACATGTATTTGATCTCCCTCAGTTCCCACATAAATCCAAATTCTCTCATGTTCCAAATAAAGCCAAAGTCCCCCAGTCTTCATATCAATCTCCATGCTATATATTGCCTAGTATCAACTATCAGTGAAGATAGAGATAGCAATTATAAAGTAGCTTTCAAATCCCTCAGATTCCCACACTGTTGTTAGCTAGAACCATTCTTAGAAGTAGTAAAATACAACAAAACAAAACAAAGGGGAAGCTTTAAGATCCAAAGGTCCTAGAGGTATCCTGGTAGTTGTCCTTTTAGCTGTTGTTGTCCTTTTAGTCCAAGATCCAAATGTCCATAGAGAAAGGTCCAATCCGAATTGCTGATTCGTATTTTTGTTGTCCTTTTAGCCTTCCAGTCCTCCAGCCTATTCCAAATGCTCCACAATCCTGGCCCTCCACCTCCTTCCATCCTCCACTTTCTCTCAATCCTCCAACTCTTTTCCATCCTCCTCTTTCTTCAATCCTCCAACCTTTCCCCCCATTCTCATCCTCCAACCCTCAATCCTATCCTGATCCTCTACTCCATCTCACTCCTTCAACCCTCCAATCCTTTTCACCCCTCCAACCCATCTTATCTTTCCATCCCATCCTATCCCTGGTCCAGAATTGTTGAACTTTTGCTGATTCGTGCTTCGATTGTTGTCCTTTAGGTTGTTGAAGTCCTTGGAGTCCTTAGTATTCTTGAAGTCCTTCTAGTCCTTTAGTTCTTGTTGTCCTTCCAGT